CTCATCAGAGCAATGATTATTTCAGTTTGAGAGGCATAGATGCAGTCCTATTCCACTAATTTATAAATGATGGAAACTAATGTGGAGGAAATTTCCAAGCTTACCCAGTTGGCCAGAACAAAGATCCTGTGATTCCTATATGTCAAATATTCCCATAATCTAGTTTTTTATTTTTATTTTGCTATATCTAACCATCAAAAACTAATGCAATCAGAGAGTTTGCGTAAGTTATGCAGAAGCACAGTCAAACACAAACACCAATTACAAATTAGTACCTTAGAAATTAGAAACAAAGAGCCAAGGGAGAGTTATGAGTAAGCAACTATAAAAAAAGCAATCAGCATCTTTTTGTTTTCTTGTCAGCTATTTGTACGTCCCCTTTGGAAAATGTCTGTCCAAGTCTTCTGCCCGTCTTTTAATTGTACTGTTTGGTGGTGGTGGTTGTTGTTTTTTGCTATTGAGTTGTATGAGTCCCTTATATATTTTGGATTTTAACCTTTATCAGATAGATGGTTTGCAAATATTTCCTCTGATTCTATAGGTTATCTTTTCATTTTGTCAGTTGCTTCTTTTGCTGTGCAGAAACTTTTTAGTTTGATGTTATTTCTGCTTTTGTTGTTTGCACTTTTGGTGTGATCTCCAAAAAAAAAAAATTGTTGGTGAGGCCAATGTCAAGGAGCTTATTTTCTGTTTTCTTTTAGGAGTTTTACAATATCAGGTCTTATGTTTAAGTCTTTGATCCCATTTTAAGTTAGTTTTTGTGAGTGGTGTAAGACAGGGGTCTAATATTGCATGTGAATATCCTGTTTTCCAAACACCATTTATTGAAGAGACTATCCTTTCCCCACTGAGTATTCTTGGCTTCTTGGTCACATATTAGTTGACTGTGTATGCATGCATTTATTTCTGGGCTCTCAATTCTGTTCCCTTGGTCTATGTGTCAGTTTTTGTGCTAGAAAAAGAAATATAGACTATTTCCAAAGAGTTTTGCTTGTAACTGTGATAACAGGCTTAGAGAACGTCAGGCTACTGTGCTCACAGCCAAGACCAGAATTAAAGTCCATTTATCGAGTTGCAGGGACCTGCACTGACAGGCCATTGTAGCTGTGCCCCTTGTAAGAGAAGGGAGAGAGAGGCTAATGTTGCCCTTAAGGTGTGAGTCAGAGTTGAGTGTTCCATGAGTCCTAATCCAGTCCCTGCACAGAGGAGGCACTGCTGAGATAGGGTATATACAGGAACCACACACACACAAAAAAAATCACCAAGAAAAAAACAAAACTGTCATGGTTTATATCGTCACTGAGTCGTTATTTGGCTTCTTGTGGTTTTATGC